AAACAAACAAACAAACAAAGAGTCGAACAGTCAATGATCCTTCATGAGTTTATTTCAGCTCAGTCCAGAGACTCAGTACGACACCAGATGTTAATACGCTGCAGAAAATAGTCCTCAACATGTTTACTGAGAAGAAAAGCCTCATTCAGACGTTTAACAATCAGTTAACGTGTGAACGTCTGCAGAACCTGAACTGCACTTTGACAAACTGAAGTCCTGCATCATCCTGCTGCTGTTTCCACTGTGGGCTGTTTGAGAGAACGTCGCCACCCAGTGGAACATGTCGGTGTTACAGCCCAACAGTCTGAACAGGAAACTCGCTACTTCTATGAAATCATGTGTTTACTGTCCATGTGCTTCATGCAGACTTCTCCTCCCACAGTGACTCTGATGCCTGATTATTTTTTTATGTTAGAACTTAAAGACAAAAGCAGTAAAATGAAGTGAGGACAGTTTCCACGTGCGTCGCTGCAGCAGCCTTTATTCTGGCTTCCAGGCGAGTTTTCAAGTAAAACTGAAGCTTTTCTGCAAATAAATAAAACATTTCATCTCCTACATAAAAACTATCAAACATCCCAAAACATGAAGAGCGACGAGTCTCCAGCTGACGCCTGAAAACAAAAGAAACCGTTAAAGTCTTCACGTCATGAGCAGTTCATCAGCACAAACTCTTCAACCACAAACTGGATTTTCAGAACAAACTCGTTGTTTTCATAAGATTTGATGATAATAATAAAAATGCAGCGTGACACCAGATTTAAAGAGATGTTTCACCAGCGAGGTTGACTGCCAGGTCAGTTTGCTGCGTTTGGGGAAAGTCGACGTACCTGATGGACTGACTCCACCCGCCGGCGCCGAGGTGACGGCCTCTGAAGGGAAACAAACGCACCGTTAGTGTCACAGCAGGAACCGTTACCGTAATTTCTGGACTATAAGGCGTTACTTTTTCCACATGCTTCAAACGATGCAGCTAATTTATGGGTTTTAACGAGTTTGCCTCGAGACCAAAGTGAGGCTGAGAGCGACGACGACAGAGAGACTGAGGAAGTGATGAAGTGATTCTGAGGCTGTTCAGCTCCTGAAGACACTGAAGAAGACGACTTTAGTGGTTTTAGTGCAGGAGGAAGATGAAGATAGCCATCAGTGACTTTTCCTGGTAGCTGCTGGAGTTTTCTGTGTAAATATCTCATGTTCCAACGTGGACGCCTGCAGCCTGGATATGAACACACCTGGTTTCCTGTTTAGAGTTAGTGGGTGGAGCTTATATTCAGGTGCCTCTATAGTCCGGAAGTTACGGTAATTCTGCAGCTTCAGGTGGTTCTCTGGGTTCCGTCACACTGACAGAAGAATCTCTGGGTTCTGTCTCCTGCTTAATGCTCTGGTTCTGTGTAACTGCAGGACTTTATGATCAGGTGTGTTGAAGCCCCGCCCCTCACCTGCCACACCCACCTGACATCCTGACCAGCTCGATGTTGACGTCGGTGAACTCGTGCGGTTTGCTCACCGAACACACGTGCGTGCCGAAGTCGTGCGGCCCGACCCGGTGCACGGTGAGCTCGATGCTGCCGGGCCGGTACCCGACGCTGTAGCCGGCGCTGCAGTTCCTGAAGGCCTTGTGCTTGATGTAGTGACACAGCAGCTCCCCGGCCGGACTCCTCCACTGCACCGACAGCTGCGACACCTGGCCGCCGGACTCATACCTGTAGGAGCACGGCAGCGTGACGCTCTGACCGGGCCGACAGGCCAGCTGCACGGCGCCACCTGCAGGAGACAGAACAGCACCCAGCGGATTGGTCTGGTTCAGCTCAGTCTGGTACTAACTTCTACACCAGGGATCTCCAGCTCCGGTCCTCGTGAGCTGCTGTCCTGCAGGTTCTAGATGTTTCTGTGCTGCAACACCTCTGACTCACGTTAATGGATCTCCAGCAGCTTGACGTGAAGTTCAAGGTTCAAGATCTTTTATTGGTCACAAACACGGTTATACACGATATGACGCGCAGTGAGATGTGTTCAGTTCTACACAAGTCTGTCAATGATCCATTAATGTGAGTCAGGTGCTGCAGCACGGAAACATCTAGAACCTGCAGGACTGTAGCTCACGTGGACCAGAGCTGGAGATCCCCGTTCTACACAACCTACAAGACAGTCACTGCCTCACAAGCTCCACTTCTGTGTCCTCCAGTAGCCAAACAACGACACTTCAGTGATAGACTCACGATTGTGTTTTTGTGTAACGACAATAAAGAAAGTCTGAGTCTATATGATGAGACACGACAACAACCTCCTGACTGAAGATCAGCTGCTTTACCGCCGTGTTAATCCTGACGACATGAAAAACAGCAAAATAAAGTTTGTTTGTTCCAAAGAGAAACAAAACGACAAAAACAAGTCACACAATGAGAAAAATCTGACAAATGAACAAAAGAAAAGAGTCAGAAGTGTTTCAAGAAGACAACGAGACACAAGATGACAAAAACAAGAAACAAAACAATAAAAATGAGACACAAAATGACAGCAGAGAAAGAAATAAGACAGAATGACCACAAAAGACACAAACAAGTCACAAAATGAGAAAAATGGGACAAAAAAACTGAAAGAAAAAAGACAAAAGTGTCTCAACGACACATCAAATGACAAATAAAACACAAAATGACACCAAACAAGAAAAACGAGACAAAATAAAACTGACAAAATGTCCCAAAGAGACACAAAAACAACACAAACGAGTCACAGAAAGAGAAAAACAAGTCAAAAGAAACAAAAGAAAGAATTCAAACGGTCACAGAGACATGAAATGAGACCGAACGACCACAAACACACATAGAACCACGAACCTGGAACATCCAGAACCAACACCTAGAACCTGTGAACTCCAGGTTCTGGTTCCTACCAATGATCAACATTTAGTCTAAACATGTAGAACCAGAACCTTGTCTGGTCCAGCTTCACCACATCAGGTTCTGCTGATGTTAGAGCCTCAACAGGTGGTGAAATGTGACCAGAGACTGGGTTCTAGTAGAACCATGGACCCATCCATAGATAGACACCGACAGGGACTTTCTGGATCAGCACCAGCCTGGATTGGATTTTTTTTTTCTATTTTTAAGGGCTGATGATTAATAATCTGTCCTCTGCTGGATCCACTGAATCATTCTGATCTGATGGAAGCGGTTCTGTCTGGGTCGCCACATCATCCTATGACTGCACGAGTTTTATTTCTGGACACATTGAAGCATGAAAATGGCGTCACAGCAGTTCTCTGAGGTTCTCTGAGGTTCTTTGAGGTTCTCTGAGGTTCTTTGAAGGTCAAAATACAAAAATTTCAGGTTTGAAAATATCAGAAATTCTCAAAAGTCTGCGAAAATACGTTCCAGAACTTAGCTTTGGGTCCCAAATAACAAATGAACATGTGATTTTTCTGTAACTCTGCGTCTGTCTCCAGCAGATAATCCGTTATAATCTCTCGTTAAACAGTTAAACAGAAACTCACCTTTTCCCAGCAGGTGTGACAGGATCAGTCCCAGGCAAAGGCTCTGCTGGAGGCTCCACATTTGTTGAGGTGACACGATTATAATGTGAACATGGAGAAGTGGGGCTCAGAAGTGACGCCTGGCTGCCTTCACTTTTGTTTTCACATGAATCAGTTTACAAGCTTCAGCAGACTCAGTGAAACCCGACCCGCTGTGGACCGGCGCCACTCTGAGGAGTTACTGATCAGCTTCGGCCGCAGAAGCAGCTTCTAGATGGACGACAAGATGGATGAAATATTAATCAACCAGCGAGGAGGCAAAGGAGCAGGTAGGCCTCAACAGGAAATAGAATGCTTCAGAATAAAAGTGCTGCTGGACGTTAAAAACACCAAAATAAAGTCAGAAATGAGTAAATATGAAAAACAGCTCATTATAAATGTCACTAAAAGGTCGACTGGGCAGCTGCTCTGGAGGTCAGAAGGTTCACGGTAGCTTTGGGCTTGCAGATAATTTATTTATCTAGTATTTATATCCTTCATTTTTAAGGAGAACCGTAAAATTCTCACTGAAATGTTCGATTAAAGAGCAACTTGCAGGATGAACTTCTGACTAAATTAAAAGCTCATGCGTGATTGTACATGTTTTATGAGACTGACCTTTATGTAGCGGCTCATTCCACCTCAGTCCACCAGGTGGCTCCACTGGGTTGAAAGAGTCTGAGGATGGAGGATTGTCATGAAGAAAAAAGATTCCAGGCTGAATTTTCCACCGTGACAAGTTGGGAACATTCTCTCTAAATGACTTCACATGTTGGTGCGACCGATCATTCAGACGGTTTGTAAAGTTGAGAAAGATTGTGAACACACCGTTTGTGAGGGTCAGTATCTCAGCGGCTTCATGACGTTGGGAACGTTGGAACATCTCATATGTGACGATGGAACACAAAACTTTCAGACTTCTATTACAAATCCTGTATGTTTTATGGGCGAACAAACACCCAATATTTCCCTACATTTAATCTCAGTTTATGCACTGAGGCACCTGTACCGTAGGATTTAAACACCTCTAGTTCAGGGGAAGGTGCTGTTAAATTTGAAGTCTGCGCCGTAAATACTTCTGGACATATTGTTGTCCAATGTCAGGCTAACTACTACAAACTGTTCATTATTGTGTGTAGCTAACACCATCAGAGTTATGACCATGAGACTTGGGGATGTGCCATCCTGATGATAGACCCGTTTTCTTTGAACCCAATCCGAGATGGTCGTGCAGGAACCATCTGGTGAACTGAGCTGGAAGGACTCAAGCTCTTCTCGTCCTGAACGTTTTATATCCATCATCTCCAACCTCAGCACTTCTGAGCAGATCTTACAAATCACACACACTTGTTTCATAGAAGGACAAACCAGTAACACCACAGACACCAGTTTAATGACCATCAGTTGTTTATACAAACACACTGAGAGGAACAGAGTCTGGATTCCAGTTTTACATCCACGGATTAAATGAACTTTATCACCACGAAGAACACAAACATTATTTACACTCACAGCTAACTTAAATACGCTTTAGAATATTTTACACTGAATCCTGCATCGATGTGCAAACTCTGATGAGCCGACGGATTTTAAAGTCCGTGATGGAGAGAACCCGACCAAGTCCGGCTCACAGATCTCTATGCTGGGTTTCCAGCTGCAGTTTAACGGACTCAGGTCGGTTCTGGGTCCACAAACAGAACAGAACCTTCTGATCTTTGTGTTGTTCACAGCAGAACCTCAGAAACCTGCTGCTGCAAAGTACAAAATGATGTGATCACAAAACCAACGACACACAAACTACCACTGTACAGACGCCTCATATTTTACAGTTTGCTTCGTCTTCCTGCTGATGGAGACGAAGACGAAGAGTCTGTTCACTGGATTCCTCTGAACAAACACATTGCAAACACCATGGCGAAGAGCTGCAGAGAGAACGAGACCTGGATCAGAGGCGGCGAAGCTGAAAACACCTCAAATATATAGATTTTAATTCAAATGCAGTTTCCACTTATTGAACTTTGAGCATTTGCAAAAAGGTTGCTTCATGCAGGTCATAGAGCCCCAGGAGTCACAGAATGAAGCTAACTACACAGCTAAAGTTATATAAAAAAGCTAACTACATAGCTAAAGTTAGATAAAGAAGCTAACTACATAGCTAAAGTTAGATAAAGAAGCTAACTACATAGCTAAAGCCACATAAAAAAGCTAACTACATAGCTAAAGTTATATAAAAAAGAAGCAAATCACACAGCTAAAGTCACATAAAGAAGCTAACTACACAGCTAAAGTTAGATTAAAAAAGAAGCTAACTACATAGCTAAAGTTATATAAAAAAAGAAGCTAACTACACTGCTAAAGTCACAGAAATATGGCTAACTAGTCATGAATAGAAGCTAGTTATGTGGCTAAAGTTACCTCTTTACACCTTTACAACAAAACACTGTTAAAGTTGTGTTTACTGGACAGCTGCAGGAATTCAGGTTTTTCTTTTAAACTCTTTCACACGACATTTTAATACTGGTGCTGAAGACATGACAATAAATGTAAATCAGATCTGACGTGTCACTTTCAGATATAATGCTGTTCTCTGTGAGCACGCTCGTGTCTGAATGCTGTTGTTTTCATATAAAGTGGTGATAAACGGGTTCGTACTTCGATGGTGAGCACCACGATGGCCAGAGCTCCTGCTGTGTAGATGTAGGTCTCAAAATAATCCACCATCGCCGAGTAACAGCCCTGCAGGGAAAAACACACAAGGTGAATATTTCATGTTTTGTACCTTAATCTACTTTAGAGTCGGTATTTATAGATAGTAGACCGACTGTAGCCACAGGATGACCTGAAATGATGCAGCTGTCCTACAGTACATGAGAATAAGCAGCACTGAGGCTGAACCTCTCCGACCCGAGTTCATCTCACAACAAGACATTTATTTCACTGTACAGACATGATGAGGACATTCATCAGAGAGCAGCTAGCTCTATCTCAGCTAACAGAAAAATATAAATATTACGGTTCAACCTGACCTAAAAGATCCACAAACGTTCCCATTTCAAACATTATTTTGTTTGTTGTATCATGTAAATGTGCTGAACTTGATGTCCGGCTGTGATGAAGCTGCTTCACGTTGAACAGATTCATTTGTGTTTTTTTGTTTCAGCTCCACGACAGAGAAAAGAAAAATGAGCCAAATGTGTTTCTGGGTTTTTCAGCAGCAGCTCAGCTGACGTGGTTTCTAAAGCTCATGTTTAATGTGTGAAACGACTGCAGTTGTTTTCAGGATTTAATCCCGTCTGTGTTTCCTGGTTGTTGATCTGAGTTCATGTTGGACTGAATCTCTCCTGCAGAACTCCAGCTGGGCTGTTCCCGACCTCTGTTCTGTACCGTTCAGGTTCTAAACCCTCCACCAGTGCTCTCTCTGCTGACCCGGTTGTGTCGGAAGGCCACGCTGCCGCTGACGCACTGCTCCACGCCGCCGTCTCCAAGGTAACCGTTCCTCTGGCAACAGGCCTCAGGAACCATCTTGGCGGGGCTCAGGAGCCTGAAGAGACTCTCCTCGAAGTCCTCCGGACCGCTGACGCCACAGCAGTCGAACTGTGGGACAGACAGGAAGCAGACGGGAGGTCAGCGAGGGTCGCCGGTCAGGCGGAGCATCAGGAAGAGACGCCTCACCGTAGTCATGACGACGTTCCAGGTGGAGCTGAACACGTCGGTGTTGTTGCGGCCTTGATAGTGACGCTTCAGCTCCCTGGTGAAATACTCTCTGGTTAGCTGGACACAGAAACAGGAGCCGTCAGCTTTCATCAGCTTTCACTTCTTTAAGCCGAGCTGAGAACAACAAGCTGCAGCGGACGCTTTAAAGAGGAACTGAAGCTTTAAAGGGAACCTCAGAATCAGAAACACTTCAATGATCCGCTTACCTCACAGGCGTTTTGTTCTGGTTCTGAATTTAAACTGGAATATCTGTAAGACAAACCTCTCAAACCAGATCATTAAATTAAAACCAAAACCAAAAACATCGACTCGTCCCAAACTAAGCAACAACCGCTTCATAAGCTGCCAAAGTCCAGCTAGAACCCTGACGAACCTCCACGAAGAACAAACTGGAACCAGTCAGACACTGAAAACACAACGACACAACCAGTAAACATCTAACCAAAAAAATCCCCTTAAAACCAGACTAAAGAACCCATGAAACCGTTTAAAACCAGTCACAAAGAGTCCAACGGTCCTCAAACAAAGGAAAAAAAAAATGGCCCAAACCCACATTTAATCTGTAAATAATAACAATAATCATAAATCAGTCTGAATCTTTAAAACCACGTCTGAAACAAAGTTCAGAATTAGACAAAAACAAAGTTCAATATCAAGTTCAAAACGTTTCTAGAAAAACAACAACAAGAACCAGCCGAAAACAACATAAACCAGTCTAAACCCAGTAAAAACCAACTACAGAACCAGTCTGAGCCCAGTAGAACCAGCTGAAGCAATCACCCTACAACCTGAAAAAAAACTAAAATCTGTCTAAAACTAATAAAAAAACAAAACAATCCCATAATGACCATGAACCGGTCCAAAACACATTCAGACCCGTTCAAGCAAATTCCAGACAGGTGAACAGATCCAGGGTCAGAACTCACGTGTTCTCTGAAGAGGAACGCCAAGATGGCAGCTGCCAGCTCCGCCAGGAAGATGAAGAGGATGAGCATGAAGAACTGGAGACAACAAACCACAGAGAAGATCATGAACTACAGAACAGCATCCCAGTGCGTCCTCTGGGTGGCGCTGTAGCACCGTTTACCTCAACCATCAGCTTCATCACCTCCAGAGGACCACGCTGTGGAAACAATCATAATAAATACTCTTAAAGCTAAACATGGACCTCTGAGGTCAGCGGGTCGACTCACAAACAGCAGCAGACATCGGTTCTCCCTGATGGCGCCGCAGCAGCCCAGGAAGCCCAGCAGGAACAGCAGCGCCCCCATGGCCAGAACCACGTAGACCCCCGTGAACAGCAGCGGGTTCACCGCCACGATCTCCCTGAAGCCCATCGGGTCCACCAGAACCCAGACGCCCACGCCCAGCAGGAAGGAGCCGCCCAGCTGGGACAGAACGGGTCAGTTAGTCAGAACCCAGAAAAACCAGGTCAGGAGGACAGAACCTGGAGGACAGAACCTGGAGGACAGAACCTGGAGGAACCTTCAGATCGGAGACTAGTTTGAAGTGCTTTGAAACTGAGGAGGTGATTTTATGTCACGGTTCTGTAGATGTTCTACTCAGAGGAACAGAACCAGAACCTGGACTGAAGCCTCCAGCTGTTCTTCTCTGTCAGACAGAATTACGTCTACTGTTCTAAAACATCAGCGTGTTTCAGGTTCTGATGAAAAAGTCTGACATTTGTTCAGAAATCAGATCTTTGAATTCCCAAAAATATTATTATTACAGAGCGCCTCAGCCGGGTCCGACTAATACCTGAGCCTCTATGAGGTCCAGACTAATACCTGAGCCTCTGTGAGGTCCAGACTAATACCTGAGCCTCTGTGAGGGTCCGACTAATACCTGAGTCTCTATGAGGGTCCGACTAATACCTGAGCCTCCATGAGGGTCGGACTATTACCTGAGCCTCTATGAGGGTCCGACTAATACCTGAGTCTCTATGAGGGCAGGGAGTCTTGGCTGGGTCAGACTATTACCAGGCTGTCCCCTCATGTTTTAGAAGTCATTGTAAAGCACACAATAACCTGAATTCTCCTGGGTACCACTTGGACCCAGAAGGACTCGGTCTCGGCACCATCAACAACCTGATCCGAGTCCAGATGTAATGATTTCAACAGCAGCAGAGAAAAGAGCGAAACTCACGAAGATGAAGAAGTTGAAGATGAACATCAGGTACTTCATGCAGCTCAGACAGTCGCCCTCCATGGCTGACACCTCCCCCTGACCCTGCACACACACCATCAGAAACATGCAGGTCAGTTTGGGTCAGAACCAGCTCCAGCAGGTCAGAGGTCTCAGTGTTTCTCCTACATTCTGATAAGAGGCTCATCTTCTGGCTACGATTCCTTTTCTCTGGTTTACAGTCATTCTGTTGGAGTTTCAAGACCTTCTGGACGTTTTAAATTGTTCAGGACCAGTTCTGAGTGATTCTGGAGAAGTTTCTTTGTGTTTGGGGGCAGAAGAATGGGGGAAGGAGCTCATGAGTGGGACTCGAACCCACGACCGCTGCATGGGGGACTATAGCCCCGATACAGGACGCCAGCTCAGCCAGGTGAGCTGTCGCGGCGTCCTGATTTGGAACAAGTTTTGAGACACACTGAGTGATTTTAGAGAAGTTCTGGAGGAGTTCTGGGTTGTTTAGGACAGTGTCTGAGTCATTCTGGAGAAGTTTCAATGTGCTTTTTGACACGTTCTGAATTGTTCTGGACAGACTTTGAGGCATTTAGGGGATGTTTTTGTCATTCTGGACACATTTTGGGTCATTTGGGACGAGTTTTGAGGCACATTGGGTCATTTTAGAGACGTTCTGAGTTGTTTAGGACAGTGTTTGAGTCTTTTTTTCCATCACTATGAAGAAATTGGATCAAGTTTCAAGACATGTTGGACAATTTTTCCTGCATTTCATCAGTACAGCAGACAGACACATGACATGTTAGGAGGAAGAACATATCTGGGTTCTGGTAGAACCTGACACCAGATCAGTTCTACATCCATCCATGAGTCTCAGTCTGAACACTGGACCTGGTTCTGTTGGTTTTTTTCTGTAACCAACTTTAAGCACCAACATTATGGGACGTATCACCCTTTGAGTATATTTTTATAACTCGTATTAGAGACTTCCTTTTCCACTAATGGAACCATATCTATTAGATGATCCCGTGATGTTCTGGAGGTAAAAATGCTCCTCCACTGTCTAGACCTGGTTCTGACCGTCACACATATGATCCTGTGTATTTACATGAATGATGAGCTTTGCAGAATCACTGGTGGATTGAAGGGGATGATTCACATGTTTGGACTTTGGTATTGTCAGGCTTGTAATTGGCTGAACTATTACATGTTTATAATTAAATGTTATTTATATAGCACCAGGTCCCACCAGGAGTCATCCCACGACACTTCACATCGTATGTTTTCATGTAAACCTGGAAATACTCACGACACAAGAAGCTCTGACACATAAACTGAACAAATGTTTCTGCTGAACCCATCAGGTTTGCAGCAGTGAGCATTTTAATTCAGATTTAAGGCGCCTCATGTTCTAGAACCAGCTCCAGGATCAGAACCCTGCTCCACGTCTCTCCCTGGATACGTCGTGTTTCATGGTGCAGACATGAAGCAGCTCTGCAGCTCGTTGGACGGCGGCTGACTGGAACAGACTCTGCGTCCTGGGCGGCTCTGACAGATCGTCCTGCTGGACACATGGAGGACGCTGCTGTCGACATGCTGCTCAACGTGAACCATCGCTGGGTGAGAACTCCACCAACTGGTCCTGATGGTGTTTACAGAGAAGCTCGCGTTCATTCAGCCACCTGCCGCGGATCGCTGAGGACGCTGAAAACTACCCTGATCAGAGCAGCTCACTTCGTATTTGACTTATTTTATTTAACTTTTATGCAACCAGGAGGTCTCAGAGATCAAAACGAGTTGTTCGAGGTGGAGATGATGAAACAGTGACCTCCACCCACATGAACTAAACCTGAAATTACATTTAAAAAATAAACTTTCTGAATGTTTTTTGATGTTAATTAACCAACTTTATGTGTCACTGTTAGAAAAATACACAATTATGTAAACAAATGACACAGATATAATTGTAAAAATGATTTAACTTGTCGGCTAAGATGCACTAAAAAACCCGACTACCTGAAGGATTACACCTGAACGTCGACGTGACGGAGGCAACCTGTCCTCATACACCTGTGCTAGCAGGCAAGCTAACGGCTACATGCTGCCATTCAGATGTGAGTTCTGTCCGATTCGGTATAAAACAAATTAAATTCAAGCTATTTAATGAGCTACTTCACTCGTGTAAATCCACAATAACGTGATTTCAGTGTGAGCGTTCATGTGATTTACAGAAAGCAGAAACATGCTGATTAGTCCGTCCCTACTTTTCCTTTTTGATCCTTTAAGAGCTCTCAGCTGTCAAGACTTTAATAACTGTGTCTGAAGTCTGGAGAAGAAAAGTAGCTCCTCACACGTCTGAGCGCTGTGGGCTGAGGAGCATTAAAGCCCTTCGCTGTGACTCCACTTACAGCCGCCGTCTACGTTTTAAGTGTAATCATGTCATTATGTTTGCTCTAACTTCATTAAGTCATTGTGACGGCTGCAGCTGCTCTCTGCGTTTCTGATCTCTGCTCATCAAGACGTCTGTTTTCATTTGTGTAATTGCAGCAGCAGCAGTTCTGTTTCCTCTTTGTGTTTTCTGTAAATGTGTTTTCCTCGTTCGTAGCCGCTAACATCCGTCTGTGTGATTGCGGCGACATCAGCGACACAATAATGTTCTTATTTTATTAACCTCGACCTCAGAGAAGAGCTGAAATTACCCAGAGTGCACCGGCCTCATCACACAACCTGACTTTAATTGCAGCCGAGCAGAGCGTCCAGCGTTTTACTTCATTAAAGTAAAAGCTCCTCACAGAGCAGCAAATTAGCAGCAAAGCACATCAGCAGACTGTTGACCCGAAAACCACAAACACGTCCTCCTACAGAACCTTCACTGTTCATGTCAAGCTCTATGTGTTTAAAATGTGAGTCTGAGAGACAATAAAGAGGACAATAAATGAGCAGAACAAGATGTTTATGGTCATAAATGTGTGATTTATTCTGTTTCCTTGTTGTTCTATTGTTGCTGTAAACGTTTACACTGAAGCACATTCAGGGACAATTAATTAAATCTGATCCTAAATGTCCCATAAATCGAATTACAGCACATAAAAAAACAGCCACAGAAATGAATGAAGGACTTTATTTTTATTTAAAGTTTCTGTGAACAGTCCTTTGTGCTGCTGAGATAATAAATCAGAGCTCTGATCAGCTGCTGAACCTCCTGAACCGGGTTTCAGGATTATTTAGCTTTAATGCAACGGTGATGTTTTTACACGGTTCTGACAATAAAAGGCCGACAGCAGAGAACCGTCTGTCCAAAACGTAGTCCAATACCGGGGTCAGAACCAGTCTGAAAATCAATTCCAAATCAAATCCAAAACCTGGTCCAATATCAGACCAAATCTAGTCCAAAACCCGTCTAAAACCAATTACAAAAGTAAGCCTAGAACCAGTACAGAACCAAGTTCAGAACAAGTTTAAAAACAGTCTGAAACCAAACCCAAAACCAGGTCCATACCAGACTAAATCTAGTCTAAAACCAAGTTAACACCAGTCAAAACCAAAGTCCAAAACCAGATTAAATCTAGCCTACCTTCAGATTAAACCGAGTCCAGAACCAGACTAAGCCTAGATAAGCCACAGATAATGGATGGATGGATGGATGGATGGATGGATGGATGGATGGATGGATGGAGGAGTGCTAATTATTACGTCTCTGTTCTGTTATAAACCGTTTGTTCCTCTGAGAACCATCACTGAGCTTCAGAACCATAAATAGAACCCAGCAGGGACACGTGGAACCATCTGAGCTCTGATTGAAGTCCTGAGATGTGAACACAGAGACGGAGGAGGAAGAAGGATGAAGCTCTCCGTCAGCAGCAGTTTGGCTTTAATTAGTCCAATCATGAGAGACTCCACTTCGTTTAGCTTCACGCCTCTCCTCATTAAAGCCGACGGTTGTTTCCAGCAGCTCTGAGATCAGAGGACTGAAGGAACGAATCCCTCGTTTACGTCTCACATTAGAGACCATCACACAGCAGAGACGCTTAACGAAGAGCTGAGACGGTCTCCTCACATTACGTCATCAGATACGAGGCAGAAAACAGACTACTGAAGAAAACCACAAAGTTCCTGCATCCCCAGGTCTGTTTTTAAGGGAACGTAGCTTTGAAATAAACCTAATTTTCCATCGGTGACGAACCAGAACCTTCAGTTTAAGACTCAGTTTTGGTTTTCTGGTTAAGTTTTGGCACCAGAAGGTTCAGGAAAACATCGCTTGGACCAAGAGCTCAACATGTCGCCTCGGCCTCCAAACTCTAGAAACCTCAGTCTGATCGAACATCTGTAAGATGTTCTGGAAACACCAGTTCACAGGACACCTTCAGAGGTCTGTGGACCAATCAGAGGACAGCCCAACATCTATAGAGCCAATCAGAGAGGACCACAGGACACCTTCAGAGGTCTGTGGACTAATCAGAGAGGAGCTCAGGACACCTTAATGTGCCGTGGACCAATCAGAGCACTACAGGACATCTTTAGAGTCCTCGACCAATCAGAGAGGACCACAGGACACCTTCAGAGGTCTATGGACCAATCAGAGAGAAGCTCAGGACACCTTAATGTGCTGTGGACCAATCAGTGCACTACAGGACATCTTTAGAGTCCTCGACCAATCAGAGAGGAGCTACAGGACACATTCAGAGTCTTAAACCAATCAGAGAGGACCTTAATGGGCTGTGGACCAATCAGATGTCAGGCAGCTGGTTTTAATGTTGTGGCTCGTCAGTGTCTCATGTTTCATTTGTGTTGCAGGAAATGTTTTCTGAGCGTTTGCTTTTTTATTCCTTCAGCTGCAGTGTTTTGAGCTCCCAGGGCCACCGTAGCCACCAACGTCTGAATGTCTGAACATGTGAAAGTCTTTATTATCATAGAGTTTATGTCCTGAGTGAGCCGACATCCTTCCAGTCCTGCATTTGGGCCGCCGTGGCGTTTATCGGGTTAAGTTCTGACCTGATTCCAGTCTGACCCGCTTAAACGGTCCAGCAGCTCTCACAGGACACGTATTGATTATTGGCTGCCAAATTAAGGTCATTTTTACTGGGAGCAACACGAGGCTCATGAGCCTGACTTACACAAGGCCTGGACGTGGTTTAAGATTTAAATGTCATGAAAGGACGAACAAACTTCTGAACGTGACGTCACGGTTGAGCCGAGGTGAAAGCGCTCCAACGACGAGGACGAGTCCGACCCTAAAGTACGAGAGTTTAATTATTCAGCCACCAGAGCCGGGATCAGCAAACATGTCGTGCTGCTGCTTTTCCAGCCTGTCGGATCAGAGCTGACACGAGGAGGACCCGGGGACAGCAGCACTGAGTTCAGAAAACAGAGTCCACAGTGTGACGTAACCCAGCATCCTGTCAGATGATCTGGGAGGTAAACGTTCACCGTCTGCCTCCGTCGACTGCAGCTCGGTCCAGCAGGCGCTTCGGCTTCAGCACAGTTCACAGCAAAGACGGCCCAAACAGAACCAACTGGTTGGAAAGTAAAGTTTCATCTGACGGAGTTGGAAAGTTTAACGAGATGAGCTCTGAGGGGATTTACATCCAACGCGCTCCGTCTACATTCTGTTTGATCGTCCAAACATGTAAAGCAGTGATTATCCACACGGCAATGAGACCGAACCAAACAGTACAAAGCTGCAGGAATTAATATTTAATAACAGAAACCGTTTAAAGGGTTTTGATCCTGACGAAGACGCTTTTGTTTTTGTTGTTGTTCACACCTGCTAGCTCGCTTTATGTTAGCGACCCTCGGCTAGCAACTGAAGCTCAAACTTTAAACCCTGAAATATGCTGTTTGAGCGAATCCTCTGTGATCGGGTCAAAAATGAGTTCTGGAGACATAAATAAAGAGATTCACAGTAAATCCTGGTTTAAGAAAACACAACATCAGACGACAAACACTGTACTTCACTTCAACCAGACTTGAGCCACACATGTGATGGTGTTTGTCTCTGAGCTGAACCCAGAGTGAAACCAAACGGGACGGACGGAGGAGGAAGCGTCGTACCATATGTACCTGTTTAATGGCTCCTGGGTTGAGACGCAGATGATGGAGCCTCCAAACGCTGCTGCTGCTTCACATCAGCTGGAAGAAGCAGAAAGAGCGTTTTAGGGAACACGTCCAGGAAGGAAAAAACACCATTACACCGAAATATTATTATAAAACAGCTTCTCCTGCTTTGGATGAAGTCCTGCAGCTCAGTGGAACCAGAACCAGAACTCAGAGAGGATTCTGTCAGCAGGACTCAGAACGATGGAGACCAGAGAGAGAAGACAATGTCTGATCACTGATTTCACATAAACTGAACAAATATTGTGCAACATGTTTCTACAGAAAACTAGAAAAAGAGGCTTCATCTACTGGAGACGTTTTCACACAGAGGACTCAGACCGTCTTCTACGCAGCAACTAGTGTCTAAAATCATATGAAATGTCCTAAATTAATCAGAATTTGTCCAAAATGACAGTTTTAAAATACATTTAAATTAAATTAATTTAATTTAAAATAATAGACATTCTACAGACTAAATTTTTTAAATGAAACTTGTGGAATAAAGTGAATAAAATATTTTTGATCTAAGCTGAGGTTTGGTCGACACATCACACGTCCAATCAAAAGTTTAAAATCCAGTCATTCCTTCTGTTTTTACAGTTCTGACATTTTTAACACAAATGTTTTTATTTATCACAAGTCATATTGTCATTATGATAAACAGTTATTGCACATCACTGATTTTATAAGTCTGATTTTGAGGATGTAAAAACAGTAAAACTGTAATTTTCCAGTCAGAATTGTAAAAGAACAAATTTCTTTTTTTCCTTTGTTTTTTTAGCCAACATGTGAATTAATGTTTTTTCTCTGATTTTTCTAGATATGATCTGTGATGTTAACGTGTGAAATAAAACTTTTACTACTTTTCTGTAAACTATATATATATTTCTTTAACAACGGGGCAAATATGTGTAAAATAACTATTTTTTGCTGATTCAAATACAGTAAATATGATGTAATTTAACAGTCAAATGTAAAAAGAACAAATGATAAAAATACAGATTGTTTTACGTGGACGTGGTTTCAGCTCTGGTTTGTTTTTCTTGGTAACTTGTGAATACGATTTCTGAATAGTTAAAACCAACCACACTTCAGCACATCATGCAGAGCTTCTCTACACACTGAAGAACGCGTTGCCTTCAGCGTCCTCCAGCTACCACACGTCTCCGGTGCATTAATGCAGCTAATTGTGAAGTTTTTCGAAGCTCTCTGCCGACGGTCTCACGCTTCGACCGGAGCCTCGTAGCCAACCTCACGTCTACTTGTTTCCACGGCAACCACCACATGAAAGCAGAGCAGGATCCCGATCGATGGAAACGTACAGCAGCTCCGGGACACGAGGCCGAGAAGCAGAACCGACTTTGGTGAGAACAATGATTCACCGCCGGTGACTCACGCTGTTGCTTCCAAAACGTGATTCAAACTGTTTGTCACAATCAGCCCGAGTCGTGACAGAAGAGAGCAGCACGACGGTCTGCTGAGGAGGAGCCGTGATTCAGACGAACCGCCACAGAACAAACCGGACCTTCAGAACAACGGTTAAACGAGCTCGACGACCGGCAACCGTTTCTGCTCTTTGTGGCTGAGAAGCAAAAACAAACGAGTTATTTATAACAATAAATGAACATTTTGACATCTGCACCACTTCATTCCCCCAAACTTCACCTGAGATCAGGGTGGTGGAACCATCCATCATCTCTACTCCTTCATCCTCACTATGGGGGGCGGAGCCTATCCCAGCTGAGTCAGGGTGAAGGCAGGTTCACCTGGACAGGTAACCAGTCTATCACAGGGCTACACTTAGAGACAGACAACCAAGCACACTCACATTCACACCTACGGACAATTTACAATCACCAATTAACCTCAGCATGTTTCTGGACTGTGGGAGGAAGCCGGAGAACCCGGAGAGAACCCACGCTGCACGGGGAGAACATGGAGACTCCACGCAGGAAGATCCCGGGTGTCCTCACCGGGACGCCAACCACCGACCTTCTAGCTGTGAGGCCACGGTGCTAACCACCGAGACGCCTGCAGTCTGTGGTGGAACTAAATGATTTCTAATTTGATTTGAAGCAACACAAAGGCTGAAACTCCAGATCCACATCCTGCGTCTGACCCGACTGTTTAAGATGTCAGTGATTTTATAAACTCATTGTGTCCTCGCCATGTACCAGCCACGCTCAGCAATGAGAAGATAACCACAAAGAAGAGGCCCAAGGCATGGACATTAATCACCTAACTGGTGTGAATAGCTTAAACTATTACAGTATATTAAGTGATAAGGCAGAAGGACTGATTGATGAGGTGACAGACAATCAGTTACATACACAGAGCAGTAAGGCAGCCGAAGAACCGATGATGAAGACACCTTTAAATGATGTTCAAAAGTTCGTCAGTCTATTAGTTAATCAACAGTCAATCAACGATCAGGGCCTTCAGCTGTGAGACAAGCACAATGTTTTATTGAAACAGCAGCAGATCTCTTCCTGTCAATAATGGAACATTTTCTGGTGTTTGATTGACTGGAACTTGTTCTCCAGGTTGTTTCTTGTGCTGGATTTACTCTCAGATGTACGTTGCTGTGGATGAAAGCATCTGCTGAATGAAGCTGTACAAACTGTAAATAACTGATTGATTCGTCATTAAAACAACGGTCAGGTTCATTAATAACAAAACAGCCCAAGACCGAGGTCCGGTTCTGTCACTAGAACTAAGTCCTGCGTTGGTCCACGATGCTTGTTTCAGGTCATTTATCTACTGACAGCACTGACTGCAGTGGCTTCAGTCTGCTCTTCAAGAAATAAAACAAGGTTCTGAAATCTCTGCTCGACCTCCACAGAAGCCCTTCAGGCTCTGCAGATGATCACTGAAGTATAATTGTGGTTAATATTTCAGCGGATCTCCATTTTGAGCAGCAGATCGTGTCCTCGTCCTGCATCCAGCTACAAGCAAACCTGTCAAGCTGAAGACTGTGTGATGAGGAGGACCTTTCAGAGCTGCTGACAGCAGCCCACACTGACTCCTCCTGCTTATTCCTCCGAGAGAAAACCAAATCACAAACATGTGCAGATGAGGCCACATGGAGGCTAATCCTGCAGCAGCTCGTCACTTCAGGAAACCTCGAGGGCTTAATGACGCAGATTCACCTGAACTATGAGCTGATTCTCATCAAAGCGACTTCAGAAGAGGCTCCTGCTGTTTGATCATCAGCAGATCAAAACAAATCACTGCTCCTCTCTTATTTACTCGTTTCTAAGCTTTGCAGCGTTTCTGACAAGAACTAGCAAGTTTTCAAAGTGAAAACTGACTTCTACAAAGTAATGTCGATTAATTAAACATATAAAACATAAAATCAGTGACTACATCAGTGTTCTCCTCCTCCAGCCTCGTTCAGGAGATGAACCTTCAGCTCCATCTCTGGTCCTGTTGGGCTCCATCAGTCTGAACATCTGGACGCTGCAGCTTCATCTCATTCTTCTGATAAAACTGTTCAGACTCTTTCAGGTTCCACAGGGATCAGGAGTGAACAGAACTCTTCAGGTCGAGACACTAATCCTCAGTTGGACTGTTATCTGGACTCTGACTGGGCCTCCAGAACTTCTCCTTGTTGTCTTCAAACCAT